CTGCCAGAACCAGATCTTGAGGTCCTGCACGACTGCCTGGAGGTACTCTGCAGCTTACATGGGACTCAGGAAGACCTGACGGATATTCCATGGCCCCACCTTGACTTAATTCTGTTCATGGATGGAAGTAGCTTCATCAAGGAAGGAACCAGGTACTCGGGGGTGGCAGTCAGTCCACCACAAACAGTTTGGGCCTCCTCTCTGCTGGTTGGGACCTCTGCCCAGAAGGCTGAAATAATTGCCCTGACTCAGGCCCTAAAACTAAGTAGAGACCAGACTGCTAACATTTTCATGGATAGCCCTTATCATTATGCTTTCGCTATGGCTCATGTCCATGGGGCCATATACAAAGAAAGGGGGCTCCTGAAAGCAGAGGGAAAGACTATCAAAAATCTAGCAGCCAGAGAAGCAGCCCTAACAGCCTCAAACCTACTGGTTATCCTGCCTGAACCCCTCTTGCCAGAAGAGCCCTCGTACCCAGCTCAGGACAATCAGGTTTAACTTCCCTGGAAAATACCAAGATCAAGCATGAATGGAGATACACCTCTGATGGGAGGCTCATTCTTCCGCACAAGCTGGCAGAGGACCTAATACATAAACTCCACAAAGGGACTCACCTAGGAAGAAGGAAGTTACAAGACTCCTGACTCCGAACCACATCTTCGATCTAACCAAAATGACTGGGAGCTGTCTTTCCAGATGTCGCTCCTGCCGGGTTACTAATCCAAGAGAAAAGTCATGCCCTCAGCCAGAAGGGAGAGGGGCACTGTGCCTGGAGTCCATTGGGAGGTGGACTTCACTGAGGTAAAACCTGGCAGATATGGCTATAAATATCTCTTAGTTTTTGTAGATACATTTTCAGGATGGGTCAAAATGTTTCCCACAAAGGAAGAAACCGCCTCAACGGTGGTCAAGAAGATCATCAATGAACTAATACCAAGGTATGGACTCCCCTCTGTGATTGGGTCAGACAATGGACCAGCCTTCATCTCTAAGGTAACTCAAGAGTTAATTAAAACACTGGGAACTAATTGGAAGCTATATTGTGCAGAGCTCAGGGCAAGTAGAGAGAATGAATCAGATTCTTAAAGAGACCTTGACCAAATTAACCCTAGAAACTGGTGATGACTGGACAGACCTCCTACCTTTTTCCCTATACAGGGTCAGAAACACCTCATATACTCAAGGCCTAACACCTTATGAAACCATGGGTGGCCAACCACCCCTTTTGCTCCCCAAGCTGCCTTCAGATGTGCTAACTGACTTGTCTGAATCCCAATTTCTTAAGTCCCTACAGGCCTTACAGATTGCACAAGACAACATTTTCCCTCTGCTGAGGCACATCTACGAACTGCCACCAGCCCAAATGCATGGATTCAAGCCAGCAGACCTTGTTTGGGTGAGATGACACCACAAGGAGCCCCTGGGACCTCATTGGAAGGGGCCACACATCATGATCCTCACCACCCCCACTGCAGTCAAAGTGGACGGTGCCAAGACCTGGATACATCATTCACACCTGAAATTGGTGCCAAACGACAAACCTGGAGAACTGAACAAGAGATGGAAGGCCACACGGGTAAAAGCCAATCCTCTCAAGCTAAAAATCGCCGCTACACCCTGACCCTTGTTGCCTTTCTATGTTTTCTCACAGAGCCTGCACTAGCTAATGCCCCCTATGGACTCCACAACCTCACCTGGATAGTTAGCAGCACATCCACCAGGAAGATAGTGAACATCTCCTCTCATCTGGACCTCTAGGCACCTGGTTCCCCAAGATTACATTCAACCTTTGTGATCTGCTTGAAGGAACTTGGGACTTGTCCTCTCCATCAGACACTGCAGACTATGGTTGCTAGAGCCCCCATGCCCAAAAGAGGACTTGGGAACACCACATTTATGTTTGTCCAAGTGACAATGGTAACTGAAGAAGTACCTGCGGGGGGCTGGGGGGACTATTTTTGTGCCTCTCTAGCTGCATGTCCACTGGATATATTAACTGGGCTGCCCCAGTCACTACCGACTTAATCCAGGTAACTGCGGTCCCTGGCTGGCCCTGGCTTATTAGAAACCGCATCACAGGACAACTTGATGGACCCTGTACTTCCCTTAGATGCATCCCTATCTCCTTGAGCTTTACCCCGAATGGGAAGGGAACTCAAACAACAAAAATGGATTGATGGGCGAACTTGGGGACTGAGGCTATACGCCTCGGGAACTGACCCAGGGATACTTTTTTCAGTCTGCCTTCATGTGGGTCCAGTCTTAGGAACTCAGATGGGGCCAGCTCAGACAATGTTACAGCCCACTAGATGACCAACACCAGCCTTAACAATTTTTAAATCTGCCAGATGGCCAGCCCCTAGCCAAATTGTCCGACCTGACAAAACCACCACTCTGCCCACCCATAGATCTAAGCCCTCGGGGGTCCACAAGGTCCAAAAGCCCCTGCAGCCATCCCCTGGACTTACAAACCTCCTAAATGTCACCTTTACTGCTTTAAATAATACCTCCCCTAACCTCACTATCCATTGCTGGGTTTTCATGGACCCGAGCCCTCCCTTTTGATGGGCTATCCCTCCCAGGAAACTATACTGTCACTTCTGACCCCACTGCCTATAGAATTCCCTAGCCTATGGGAAGAAGGGGGCTTACTCTTACCCAAGTGTATGGAAAAGAGCTATACGTGGGTCCCTCACATAAAATTGTCCCCTCCTCTTACCAACATCTATGTAACTCTGTCCAAGAGATAGGGGCTACTGCACCTAACCCATTATGGTGCCCCCCAACTCCACTTGGTGGGCCTGGACCTCTGGCCTAACTACATGCCTCCACTCGTCCATTTTAAACCAGACCAGGGATTTTGTGTACTAGTGCAGCTGGTTCCCCATCTATATTACAGAACAGACACAGAAATGGAAACCAGAGTCTCAGAAGAGTCTAGACCTCATAGGGCCATAGGAACCACTGCAGTTGTTTTGTCTACTCAGGGTTGGGGTAACCACTGAAACTGGTCTGGGGGCTTCAGTGCTCACTCGTCCATTTTAAACCAGACCAGGGATTTTGTGTACTAGTGCAGCTGGTTCCCCATCTATATTACAGAACAGACACAGAAATGGAAACCAGAGTCTCAGAAGAGTCTAGACCTCATAGGGCCATAGGAACCACTGCAGTTGTTTTGTCTACTCAGGGTTGGGGTAACCACTGAAACTGGTCTGGGGGCTTCAGTGCTAGTCCTCCAGGATAAAAGATAAAAATTCGTGAAAGACTTAAAGAAAGAGAAAAGGAACGACTAAACCAACAAAATTGGTACAAATCCCTATGTGACCAGTCCCCATGGTTAACAACTTTGATCTCAGCAATAGTCGGACCTCTCCTCTTATCCTACTAGCAGTCACCTGTGTCCCCTGTGTTCTTAATGCCTTTCTCAAATTCATCCGAGAACAGATACAGACAGTCCAACCGATGGTACTGCGTTCACAGTATACTCATTTAAATCGAGACCCCAAGCCTTACGACAGTATAGAAATGGTTCCACCGCCCTAAATGCGCTGTCTAACCGCTTCTGTCCGCTTCTGTAATTTGCTTGGCTTAAAGATTTAACCCTTGCCACAACTCTACAGGGGAATGAAGAGCCAGAATGCTCTGACTCCATTTTGGCTAGCTTCTTCAGACGAGCCCAGACAAGCTCAGGCATATTGTAAATTTTTCCAGTTGCTACCCACCCCCCAAGCTATAAAATAAGCAAGCCCTGGACATGTAAAAGCCTTATAAGGTATGAACAAAAACGTCTGGCCCTAAAAGATATCAGTCAGCACATTCCAATGCCCTGAAGACAGCCCCTACCAATCAAGACTTCCCCCATACTCAGGATATGAGGCCATCCAATCATTTTAAAAGATGCTTGGCATGCGCAGGTTTCTGTGGAGTGCCCCAATAAAAGCCCCTGCCTGCTATTGTTCGGGGCCAGACTCCATCTTTGGCTCATGTAGTCTGTGCCCAGCTATCCACCATTTGGTTTTTACTTTAAATTCCTGAATAAACTTTTTGTATAATCTTTTTGGTATCTCTGGGAATTATTCTCGATTCTCGAACCCTAACAAGCACAGAGGAAGGGGGGAGCAGGGCAGGAGGTGGGGAGCACAGCGGGAGGTGGGGAGCATGGTGGGAGGTGGGGAGCAGGGCGGGAGGTGGGGAGCACAGTGTTCTGCTCTGTGGGTTTGCACACTCCTCATTCCCTATCTGTCCACCTGGAACAGACGCAGAGACGAGCATAACCACCTGGGTCAAGGACCCCTACAACCCTCCTTTTACTGGAGAAAGTTCCAGAAGCCCAGGCTACAGGTCCGTGCCCACTGAGGGATCTTGCTGAACTCACCTTTCTACATAGAGCCAAGCATCAGTCAGGGCTTGGGCCTAAAGCAAAAGGCCCTGAACACAGGTCCAGGCCACACAGAAGATGCTGAGCCACTCGGCTGAGCAGACAGCAATAGCTCAAGTCCTACACCCCATAGACCAGCCACCACCCACAGGACAAGGGCTGGACCTCTGTTGGGGGCCCTTAGCAAGTGTACCCCACCATGACCCCTTCCTTAAAGCTACATCCTAGAAGCACGCACAGTGCTCACAGTCCACAGTGCTCCAAGGTGAACAGAGGGATGTCGAGGACATGCAAACACACTGGCAGCCCGCAGCTTTCAGCTCATATAATTTCTAGGACACCTGTGGAGTGCCCGCCCTCGTACCCGTCGCCAACAAGGCTGTCCATGCACACTTGGTCAGGGAGCTGTCAAGTAACTGAACCGATTTGTGGCTGAACCCCTGTGACAAATGGCCAGACCAGACATTATCACTGTCCAATTCCATATTATCTTCTTAAGCAAAAAACCAGCTGATTCAAGTTAGCCACCTGGGGCAATTATCTTACACGTGACAGGCGTTTTCCCGGGACACAGGGAAATGATGGTGTGGGTTGCAAAGTCAGCTCTTTGGAAGTTTACCTGAAGGGGACATGGGTGGCTTCCTGAAGGACCGCTGCTCTGCCTTGGGATGCTCTGGGGGGGTGTCCACACTCAGCGAGAACTGGAACTGGATGGTTCCCGACTCCACATGGTTCACCTATGACAGATCCATGAGAGAGTGATCCCTCAGGACTGATCCCCACGTGGACTGACGGAAAGCAGTAATGGCTGTCTACCACTGGTGCTTCCTCAGTGACCTGCAGGACAACCACCCAGCCCCAAGCAAAGTGCAAGAAAGAAAGAGGGAATATTCCTGAAGCTGTGCATTCTTAGATCACAATCAAGTAATTTTCTGAGCAGAAAATTAGTTGTGGCATTAAAATCCTGGGAGACTATATTATCAGGAATGACATTTACCTAAGCAGAAGTACAGTTTAAGATATTTAATAAGTCTCAATGTATTTATTTTTTAATTAACATGTATTATTGACTTCCATGTGTCAGTGTAGTCCATGGGCTTTAACATGTGCACAATCCTGTAACCAGCTCCACCCCTCATGCTGGCCCCACTGCCGACTTCTCCAGCACTGAATTATTGATCCTCAGAGCGCCAGATAAAGCCACAGGGTACATGCCCCGGGGGGTGGCTTTCTCCCTCAACACAAAGCCCATAGAATTCACCCACACTGTGGAACACACCTATGCAGGATGGGTGCCTGTCACGGTGGTGTGCTCTGTTGCCCTGGTAAGCCACAGTCCATCCATCCACCCACCTGGATCACCTGGGTGGTGTGCAGATTCCTGTGCAAACCTGTTTTCACTTCTCCGGGAGTCAACAGCTAGGACATGACTCTGCAGACATTTTATTCTGTAAAAACTTTCCAAGCTACAATTTCCTGTGCTCTGAAGTCTGGCTTTGGCTCCTATGAACCACCAGTATTGAGGTTTTCTTTTAACCAGTGTTTGCATGAAATTTTTCCCATTCTTTTAAACCTGCATCATTACATTTAAACTGGTCCTGACAGGCAGCCAGGTGGGCCGTTTTCTGTCGTCTGGTGGCCTCTGGCAACATGATCTATTTTTAATGCAGGGTTCAGCTGGTCTGGACCAGGGAGACCATCCTACTTCTTCCTCTGTCTTGTTTTCCTGTCTTTTTTAGAATCATCGCTTTACCTGCTGCTCACATGATGTCTTTGTGCCTGTCATGATGTAATCTGAAATGGCCCACAGGCTGCCTAGAGCGATGGCTCCCAGGGGTGGAGCCGTCCTTGGGAGGTGGGGCCTTCAAACCTTCCAACTGAAGCTCCATCACTTCTTTCCAATGATGTCTTTGTGCCTGTCATGATGTAATCTGAAATGGCCCCCACAGGCTGCCTAGAGCGATGGCTCCCAGGGGTGGAGCCGTCCCTTTGGGAGGTGGGGCCTTCAAACCTTCCAACTGAAGCTCCATCACTTCTTTCCAGACCCACATTGCTAACCGGAATCATTTCCTTTCTGTCTGAAGAAACTCTTTCAGCAATTCTTTTAAGCTGTACGATGCGCTGCCCATGAATTCTCTTCACTTATTTGGGAAGGCAATGCCTATGTTCTCAGGTGATTCTTGCTAGGTACAGAATTCTGGGTTCCAAATCTTTTGTCAGCACTTTTTAATTACTACTCCATCTTCCCCCTGGCCACATGGTGATGAGAGAAATCCACAACCACCCACGTCACGATTTTTCCACAGATAACGAACCACTTTTCTGTTTCTGCTCTATCCCGAGGCCTCCCTGAACTTCGCCTTTAGGCTTGTATCTTGATATCAGGCTCAGTCATATCTTCAAGTGTTTTTGTTTTTTGGTTTCTGGGGTTTTTGTTTTTTGGTTTTCTCTAACACTTCCTCCTCCCACTCCTGGTCTCTGGCTCTGCCCCACAGGTCACTGCTGGGGTTCAGCACAAGGCCTTCCAGTCAACTTCTCCGAACTGATCTTCAGGTTCTCAGGGTCTTCTGTCATCTGAGTCTGCTGCAAAGTGCATCGGGTAAATTTGTTGTTGTTGTTGTGACTTTCCAGATCTAAAGTGTCTTCTACAACTTTCTGTCTCTCCATTTATCTCAGCGTTAGCCCCTGCAGACCTGAGCACTCTCATATCGACTGTTCCAATTTGATAATTCCAAGATCACCTCTGAGTTGGGGTCTGCTGTCTTTTCCCTACAAGACTCTCCAGGCTGTTGACACACCGGCTAATTTTAGACTGTAGCGTGGTCATTTTGAACAGCACATCTGAGGCTCTGAGGCTGGTTGGCATTCCCTGAGGAAAGACGGCTAGGGCTTGTTTCAGCAGTAATCAACCCAGCTGGATCAGGCCCGTTTCTGACCACAGCTCCTGTGGGTTCTGGTGCCACATCAGTGTCCCTGTCAAAGCTGGTACAGTGCCATCCTTCTCCTCAACACGGACAGCCCTGCAGCTGGAGAGAGTCCACCCCACACCCGCAACTCACGTCTCAAATGCCTTAACCTGCTATTTAATGCATGCAGCTTGGGACAAGGTTGGGATTTTGTATACAGCTTTGCAGATTGCCCGGAGCTCCTCCCTCCTGAGTACTGCCCAGTTCTCCAGTTCTCGGGACTCTTCGGACCCTTGCTGGGCCACACCCTACCTGAGGCTGGACCTGAGTTCAAAGTCAAGCAGTGGGAGGGCAGGGTGCTTTGTAACAGGAATGGGGTATAAAGACCTAATATCCTCATCCATCAGCACAGGGACGTCGGTGCATAATGCGTGAGATGGGTACACTGAGGATGGCAGGGGAAGCTCACTATTTACCGTCTGTCACAGCTGGCAATCCAAAGTGTAGGCTCTGGAGATAGAAATTTTTTTTGGGGCGGGGGAGTCTTTTTTGAGACAGGGTCTCCCAGTAGCCCCAGCTGGCCTGGAACTCACTATGTAGACCAGGCTGGCCTCAAACTCACAGAGATCCGCCTGCCTCTGCCTCCCAAGTGCTAGGATCAAAGGCATGAGCCACCAAGCCCGGCGATATACTTTTTAAAAAGAATTATTTACCCCAAGGAAAAAGAAGGAAACACAATCATGATGTTACTTTGCTTCACAGTAAACAGTAAAATAACCATTAACAACATGAACCTAAAATGTACTTTCCCAAACTGTGGAACATTTGTAATATTTCTATTTCTTTGACTAATATCTGAGATTACTACTCAGCTGTGAATTCCACGAGCTCAGGGACGTTTTCATCTGAGTAGAGGTGTTCAAACAAAGTTCACTGAGCGAGAGAAGGACCACAAGGGATACAGAGCTATCTGGCAAGGGCAGAGGTGGGGCGGCCTTGCATTCCAGCCGGTCTCACTTGCCAGGTGCTGGAGCCAGCAGGAAGGAACAAAGGGAGAGGCAGGTGGGGCCTTTCCAGCACAGGAGCAGAGACAGAGCCAGGGCCGGTTTCAGCTACTGTCCTCCTTCAGGATGACGGTCCTCAGACAGAGCCAGGGCCGGTTCAGCCACTGTCCTCCTTCAGGATGACGGTCCTCAGACAGAGCCAGGGCCGGTTCAGCCACTGTCCTCCTTCAGGATGACGGTCCTCAGACAGAGCCAGGGCCGGTTCAGCCCACTGCTCTCGTCTACTGTATCTGCTCAAGGTGTTGGTCTTCAACCACAGGCAGTTCAGCCCCCAAGAGCCTTCAGCAGTGTCAGCAGGGCTGAGCTGTCACAACTGGGGGACGCTACTGGCATCTAGTGGTAGAAGACAGAGCCCGCAGAAAGGTCAGCAGTGCTGAGAAACAGAATTCAGAAGTGGAGTTCTTCATGGAACACGGAAATATCTGACACATGTGCATCACAAAGTAAGTCAAACATTCACAACACTCGTGTCTGATAGCTCACCTTCAAAAGGTGAAGACAGTAAAGGGGCAAGACAGGTAAACAGAAGAAACATTCACACAGGCACAGAGAGTCACACACAGGGACACACAGTGACACGCACACACAGACACACACAGACACACAGAGACAGGGACACACACACACAGGCACACAGGCACAGACACATTCACATACAGACAGACACACAGAGACACACACCTCGATGGACGCAAACATACACATGAACACACAGACACACGCACACACACACACACACACACCGATGGACACACACATACACAGACACACAGAGACACACAGGAAGAGGAGGGAAGAGAGAAAAAAGCGGAGGAAGAGAAGGGGGAAGTGGGGAATGGGAATGGCTTTGAGCTTTCTGATGGCAATGTTATAATAAGGGCTCAAACTAGACCATATGGGAACACAGCAAAATATGGTCCCATAATGAGAGACATTCCTTGTAACAAGAAAAGCTGCACAATCAGCTGCTCCCTGATTCAGTACCCAAAGCATTAGCCAGGTCGTAAATAACAACGCTGGAGATAATATCTGCTGCTGGAGCCAGCACAGAAGTGACACACTCAAACAGCGGGCACACTCCCTTTGCCCAAGAAAACAAGTGCAAGGGCTCCCTGAGAGCTTCTGAGACAGGCCTCTCACGGACGGCATGGGAGAGCCAAGAGAGGCCTGCCACACCCCAGAGGCTCAGGACAGACTCTGGACATTGACCAGAGCCAAGCCACGCTTGTCCATGATACCCTGGGTCACCTTGACCTCCGAGACCACACCTAGTGTGGGCAGGCAGGGGAGGGTGGGCAGGGATGAGATCCACACCCCAGCCTATCCTGCCCTGCTTTGACTTGATTTCCAGGTTGGAGCTCAGAGACCATCTCACATCCAAATAGTGTTTTCAACCTGAGAATCTGTGGTGGGTCTGCCATTTTACAGCCAGCTGAGACAGGCAAGGTCAGGGGGAGTAAACCTTGAGTCTAAAGGCCAGCTGGGGATGGAAGCAGAGCCCCGCCTAGTTCTCAGCCCACTCGCCCTCCTGGCAAAGGCCAAGTGGGGTTCCCCTCCCTCCAAGGCACAAAACATGTGCACAGGCAAAAGACCACTCCTCCCAATGTGTGCACAAGACAAAGTGTGCAGACGATGGCCCGGCAAGGTGTCCGGTCAGACCCTGCATGAAACTGGCCTGGCTGAGTTCACATCTGACCACACGCAGCTCAGCAAGTACCTGCCTCGGTATGTGTCGAGGGCACATCGAAAGCATGGAAAATGCTGGCTCATGAAACATCAGCAAACATATTAATCAACTTTGGGTTTTTAAAATGAATAAATGTGGGCTCGATGGGTAAAGTGCTTCCTGTCTAAGAAACAGGACCTGAGTCCAATCCCTAGAACCCACATAGAACGCACAGCAGCTAGAATCTATAACCCAGCACGCGGGGGCAGAGACAGGAAGATCACAGAGGCTCACTGGCAGGCCAGTCTAGCCAATCATCAGGCTCCAGGCTCAGGGAGTGCTCTGTCTCTAGAAATACAAGCACTCAGTGAGTGAGTGCTCACGCGCGCACACACACACACACACACACACACACACACACACACACACACACACACTTGCTACGAGCTTGCCAGAGACATACCTAGAAAGTATTTACCTCCTTGGAGCTCATGCTGACTGAAGGCACCTTATAGACCAGGCAGTGTGAGGGGTTCTGCCTAACTCCCCCCTGCAGTGGCAGAGTCACCTTTCCAGAGCTGGCTTCCAGCGAGGGGTTCCAAACAGCCCAGCGAACCATGTGCATACACGCCAAGTTGGACAAGGAGGTAGCCAAGCAGGCCTAGAACGGAAACAAATCAAAGCCATGTGTGAGTTAGCATGGCAGCCTCCTGGGCAGATCAGCTGTGTGGTCACGTAACACACTCTCCTGGGGTTCAGTACAAGGGTCCAGGACCACCTGTCCTACCCAACAGAAGGAACTCAGGAAGAAGGGCACCGCACCCAGAGCATGAGCAGCCTGTTCTGACACCCTCCGGCCTGCCCTGGACCCCTTCCCACCCGAAAAGTCTCCTCTAGCTCAAGGCAGCAGGGCTCTCCCCCCCAACCCCCCACTGCTCTAAGACTCCCCCATTCCCCCGAGGACCTTTGTCCAGATTTATAAACACTCAGGACCCTGCCAACTTCTCTCAAATGCATCAGGAAAATTAAAGAACGGCGCTGGTGCTGGCAATGGGCAGCTATCAGAATAAGAGTGGGAACAGGGAGGGGCACGTGTGGGTACCTGTGCATATGTGTGTGTGTGTGTGTTTATGTACGTGGATGTAGGTGTCTGTGCATGCACATATGTGTGGGGTGCGTGTATGGAGGAGGTGATGTATGTAGTACATGTACGTGTGTGGCATTTGTGTGTACTGTTATATGGTGTGTGGTATCTGTACGTAGGGGGATGTATTGTGCATATGTGCATCTACATGTGTTTAGCTTGAGGTTATCAGCACACATCATCTTCAGCAAAGACTGAATCTAAAATGTAGTGTTTCCTACAGGTGAATTTATATGAAACTAGGAAACCACCTGGGCTTGATCTTAAGCAATGTCCCTTCTTCAGCCTTCTCTGTAAGCAGCCAGAGGAAAAGAACCAGGACCCCAGGAAAGTCTTGGGTTAGCAGCCATAATTTAGAGTCAGCCTCACAAATATAGCCTCAGACCTTGGCTCAGCAATGTGTTTTAAAGCTGTCACTTTTATTCATTTTATTTAACTTTTTTTAACTAAGATTACGGCTGAGCTCCAGGTCTTTATGGAGCACAGAAATGCTGCTGTGCCTGTCAATAAACCTTGTGGCTCACCACCTTGTAGAGGACTTCAGAGATGGTCTCTCTGACTGGAGGACCTGCCTGGGAGACCCTGAAGCTGCCAGGAAATGCGAAGCCTATATCCCCAGGACCCTCAAAGAGGGTCTTTGAGGTTTGCAGAGTACAGGAAATACCAAGTCAGACCAGACAAGAACTCCATACAGGAAGGCTCAGGGAAGGCGCCGCCAGCCCCTTCTGTGCTGGGATGCCAGCCTCAACCACGGTGTGTTCAAGAGCGACATCCAGGTGGCTGGCTCCGGGCTTGCCTTGCCCCTGCTTTCTGGGACGGGAATTAAGAGGCATTCCTGTGGGTTCTGAAGATCTGAACTCGTGTCCTCGTTTGTGCAGCAAGTGCTTAACAACCGAGCCATCTCCCCAGCCCTGTTTTTTGTATCTTCTGAAGTGACCTTTTATAGTTACAGATGTGGATGTTGAATACTTCTGCTGGATTTATTCACGGGCGTTTCTTGTTCTGTGCTGTGGCTCTAAGTGGGGTGTTCTCCTTCCCTCACATCTTCTGACTTGATGGCAGAGTTTGCTTGGAAAGTCGTTACTAGTTTATTTTTTTATTTTTCAAAAGTAAATCCTAAATCTTAAGTGTCTGATGAATATGCATTATCTTTTTTTAGTTATTAAAGTGACCAGCTCTCCATGTGACTCTTCTCAATATCTGTGTGTGCACACATGTGTATCTGTGTGTGTGCATGTGTGTGTGTGTACGTGTGTATGTATGTGCATGTGTGTATATGTGTGTGTGTTTCCTCTGCTCACCCACCTGTCCTCTGTTGTCCTTTGTCCTCTACTTGTCTTGTGGTGCCCTGGGCTGTGCTGCCTTTCAGCTAACTTCCTGTGTGACCAGTGACTCCAAGTGAGAGTCCCCATGTCCCCAGCCCCTGGGTTGGCTGACAGAGAGCCTGGGATGGCTTCCTCTGTGTCATGCCCCTTCTGTGGACTAGCTGCTGTGGGCAGGAGTGGGCAGGGTGACCCCTCCAGGGGAGGCAGGAGCCAGGGCCTGTGGTGTCCTTTCATCTGCTGGGCCCGACTCTGTCTTCAGGGGGTGGTGGCCCCTCCATCTGCCTCTCAGTCACATCTCCGGTCCAGGACAACTTTGCTCCTGCTGCTACTTTCAACCACAGACAGGTTCACATCTGCTTTGCGAAGAGGCTGAAGTCTTGCGAACCCTTTCGTCAGTCTGGAGAGCTGCACTAGGCTGTGGGACGAACTTTCATTGCTCACTTACATGACTAAAAGCAATTACTGCACTTCACAGAATGAACGGAAAGTATTGCCTGTTAAATGATCACTGTACTTTTAAGTGACACTTCATATACTGGGTCATATATGGGAGAGCAGTGACCTTAATTGTGGGTTGTTAGACTTCCTTCGCCATCCTGAATGTGTGTGAAGGAGACGAGCCGGCAGCAGTTGCTGAGTACGAGCTGGCAGCATGGGATAGGTGCCACCTGCTTAGGGGCCCTCTGCCGTAGGGCTGGCACGGAGGAGGGGTGAAGGGCTGCTGTCACCGCATTCCCGGCCTCTTCATCCTGGGTGGCTTCAGTCTCTCAGCCTTGTGAGGTTCACCTCAGTGGCTAAGAACTTGGTGTCATTCTGGAGGAACGGCAGAAGACACACCTTCTCAGGTGCCCTGAGCCTTGACGGCTGTCCAAGTTCCTCTGTGTTCCTGGGGCAGTGGGCTCCCCCTCCTGCACGGCTTGTCCTGGCCTTATGGCCTGCATGTCAGGCCTGCCCCTAGGTGTGGGCTCTGGGGTATGTGTGCAGAGGACGGCAGCCTCGGTGGAGTCGCCTGAACATGCCATCCTCTCCCACCCTGAGCCTGAAGTGTACAGGGTCCTGGAAAGGGTCTGTGCTATGGCCTACGTGGTCTCCCGTGCTTCCCTGTCTCCTCCCTGAAGGTTATGACCACCCAACTCTCTCTGCTTTGTGTGTGTGTATGTGTGTTCATGCGTGTGTAGGTGTACATGCATGTGTGTGCTGGAGGACGACCTTGGGCGGTGTTCCTCAGGTGCTGTCCACCTATCACTTTTTTGAGACGAGGTCTCTCGGTGGCCCAGAGCCTGCTGAGTAGACTGGCAGGCTGGCAGGGAGCCCCGAAGAGTCCCGTCCCACCTCCCGGTGCTGGATTACAAGTATGTGCCACCATACTTGCTTTTATTTTATCGTTTAACATGGGTTCTTGGGGTCAAGTTTAGGCAAGCACGTACTGACCAAGCTACGGCCCCCTTTCCCTGCTCCTTGAGTTTTTCCCATTATTTGTGTGACATTGGGTGCATTCAGAGACGCTCTGGTGTGGCAGTTTGTCTTTTCAATTTGTGTTCAGCCCAGGGCCCAAAGTGGCCTCTTGCATTGAGTTTCCATCCCTCTGGAACCAGCTGTCTCTGGAAGCAGCCTCAGTGGCAGTGAGGTGGGCACTGTGTGGGTGGCAGGTCCCTTTCCACCCAGACGGGATGCCACTGCCACCTCTGTCCTTGCTGTCTGCCCTTGAGGCCAAAGGCCCGGCAGATCATGCCTGGGGTCATGGCATGGCGATCCAGGCAGCAGGAAAGAGCTCCACATCGCATCAGAAGGAAATAAAGCTCGGGAGGAAGAGGAAGTCTCGGCCTGTCTTCAGGTTTGCTAATCTGAGGACAGAGCCATGAGGAACTGTGTGAGCCCTGTGGCTGCCCACAGAAGTGGCCGAACTGGGGCTCAGAGTGGAGTGCCAGGAGCGAGCGGGGCTCAGAGTGGAGTGCCGGGACACACACATATACACACATGCACACACACAGATACACATGTGTGCACACACAGATACTGAGAAGAGTCACATGGAGAGCTGGTCACTTCTTTAAAATAATAACTAAAAAAAGATAATGCATATTCATCAAACACTTAAGATTTAGGATTTACTTTTGAAAAATAAAAAAATAAACTAGTAACGATTTTCCAAGCAAACTCTGCCATCAAGTCAGAAGATGTGAGGGAAGGAGAACACCCCACTTAGAGCCACAGCACAGAACAAGAAACGCCCGTGAATAAATCCAGCAGAAGTATTCAACATCCACATCTGTAACTATAAAAGGTCACTTCAGAAGATACAAAAAACAGGGCTGGGGAGATGGCTCGGTTGTTAAGCACTTGCTGCACAAACGAGGACACGAGTTCAGATCTTCAGAACCCACAGGAATGCCTCTTAATTCCCGTCCCAGAAAGCAGGGGCAAGGCAAGCCCGGAGCCCAGCCAGCCACACTGGTGAGCTCTGGGTTTGCTGGAGAAATCATGCATCAGAGGATAAAGTGGAAAAGTGATCACGGAAGATTTCTGACACCAGCCTCAGGGCTCCACACATGCACAAACATTTGCATGCATACCTACATACACAGGCACCCACATGCATGCAGGCATGCACACACACACACACTAAAAAAAGGAAAACAATACAAAAATAAGCCAAACAAACGGAAAATCAACTCTGGCTCCTGGACTGGGTATTTCAGTGCTCTCTAGACTAATTTATAACTCCACTCCCTGGAATCTCAAAACGCCGAGACATGTTCCTGGAGCTCTGGCCACTGAATAAGCAAGAGGGCAGGGTCGCAGGCTGAACTTGTGCCCCAAGTGAACAAACACGTGGCCGAGCCTCCAAGGTCAGAGCAGGATGGCCTCGGCCAGGAGCAGACAGCAGAGCCCAGAAAGAGACAAAAGACAGACACAGAGACAACTGCACAGGACCGGGCATCCCACATTACCATGAAAGAAGGTCCTGTGAGTGACTAGCATGGGACAACCACACGGCCACTGGAAAAGATAAAACCAGACTCCCTCCTTCCCCCATGCAAAGGAGATAGACCTAAAAAGGAAACTGTTAGAGCTGGGGAGGACATGACGGAGTCCCTCACGTGAGGACAGGGGGATGGCTGTTCAGAGCGCAAACATACACGCAGTGGAACCTGGCAACCTAACCGCCTGTGTTCAAAAGGACTTCAGGAG